AACAAAGCCGAGAACAAAATCGTGGAGATCATTGCTGGCGCTATGAATGTCGATATGGCGTCAGTAACGCGAAATTCTAGTATCTTCGAACTGGGTCAGGATTCCATTTCCATCATTGGTTTCGCCCGCGCCTTGCAGAATGCTGGGCTGGAAAACGTGAAACTTTCGACGGTGAAGAATCACCCTAATATTGGTGCCTTAGTCGCTGCGCTTTCTGGTTCTGGTTCAGTGGATCGGGGACAAGAAAGTGCGTATATGGAGGCAAAACAACGTATCGCTGCGTTTTCGCAGAAGCATATGGTAGCTGTCTGTCAAGAGCTTGATGTTGAGGCTGCGAGCGTGGAGGCTGTGGCGCCTTGTACGCCCGTACAGGAGGGTATGATTTTTAGGTTTTTGGAGAATGAGGGTGCGCTCTATTTCAACAAGTTTGCGTTTAGGGTTGAGGAAAGTATTGATTTGGAAGTGTTGGCGAGTGCTTGGAGGAGAGTGGTGAGAGGTGCGCAGGTGTTGAGGACCAGGTTTGTGGCTACGGATGATGGATTTGCTCAGATTGTAGTGAAGGAATCCGCTTTCGAGTGGGCGGAGAAAGTCGTCGATTACACTGCTATGGAGAAGATGGAGGCACTGAAGCAGCCGTATAGCATTGCGCTCGAGAATGACGAGCACGGCGGCGTGATGACGATACAAATGTTCCACGGTCTCTATGATGGCATCAGTCTCAACCTTCTCCTCGAAAGGGTCGTAGATGAGTTTAGATCAACATCTAACCTCGACTACGGCCCACGATTCCAGCACTCCCTCCCCTATGGACCCTTAGCAAAAGTCGAAGGCGCAAAACCCTTCTGGACCGAACAACTCAAAGATTGGTCACCAAAATCCTTACCCTTGGCATCAGACTCACAACAAGATATATCTGCGAAACTCTCCGTCGACCAGCTCTCTGGCTTCGAAAATCTGCGTACATCACTCAGCGTCACACCCCAAGCTGTTTTACAAGCTGCATGGCTGTCAGTTCTTCAGACTCTCATTCCAGATCCTACGATTGGACTCGTCACTTCAGGACGGACCATCGATTTCGACAACGCTGAAAACATCATTGGACCCCTCTTCAATACCGTCCCTTTCCATTGTCCCGTCTCTCAAGCTCGTACCTTCACCGATCTCATCCACAAATGCCACGACTTCAACATGAAGATGCAGGATTTCCAGCATACACCACTCAAAGATATTCAGAAATGGAGCCCCGCACAGCCTGGCTCACCAATTTTCGAGAGCTTATTTGTGTTTCAACGAGGTGGTGATGATGGGTTCGCAGAGGGGATTTGGCAGGAAATAGAGGATGAAGATGTGGTTGCGGATTATCCGTTGGCTTTTGAGGCTACGATGAGTCTTGATGGACGTAGTTTGGGTTTGGTGATTGTTGCGCAGGGTGGAGTTATTAGTCAGGGGAAGGCGGAGGAGTTGTTGGGGGGTGTTGAGGAGACTTTGAGGAGGATTGTGGATAGTGGTGGGGATGCGGTGATTGATAACAATCAAGCTGCCGAAAAATCAGCCCCTGGGACCACATTGATCACTTCATTAAGATCTCGGACCACTAAAGGGGATGTCAGAAACGACTTCCAATGGACAGACAAGGCAACATTTATCCGAATGGAAATCGCACAACTGGCAAAGGTCTCAGTCGACTCCATCCACGAACATTCCTCTATCTTCGAACTCGGACTCGACAGTATCGATGTCATCAAATTGTCTTCGCGGCTCAAGAAAAGAGGTATCGAGCTTCCCGTCAGCGTGATAATCAGATGTCAAAATATCGCGCAGATGTCACTTAAACTCTCGTCAGCCCCCTCAAAACCAAGAGAAAATTCGCTTACAGTCCTGAAAGACTTGAGTCAAAAGCTAGAGGCGTATCTCAGAAAATCTGGGAAGCTGCCTGAAGGTACAGAGACTGTACTCCCTGCTACGCCGCTTCAGCAGAGTATGGTGAATGAGATGATTCGATCAGGGTATGAGAGATATTTCAATATTGATGTACTCAGGATTCAAGAGGATGTGGATGTGGTTAAGTTGATTGCTGCTGTCACGAAAGCAGTAGAGAACTCTCCGATTCTGAGTACGCGGTTTGTTGAGGTTGAAGATCCTGAATTGCCTGTTAGTTATGCTCAGGTCATACCTAAGGAAAAGAGATTCACACCTTACCGGGTGGATTTGGGAAAGAGTCATTACGAGGACTTTGACGACTTGCTGGCTACTTTGAAAGTTGATTGCACAAGAAAAGCGATCGAAAATGGGGAGCTGTTTCAAGTTCAATTTATCAATGACTCGACAGCAAAGTACTTCGTCATGGCAGCAGCACATGCCTTGTACGATGGCAGCTCTATGCGACTGCTTCATGACGATATCAAGACTGCTTATCACGACAAACTAAGTTCACGACCTAGCTTCATGCCGTTCCTAGAGGAAGCAGTGCGTTCGACCACAGAAGAAGCGAAGAAATTCTGGCGAACTACACTCTCGGACATTCCGCATGCTAGCCTCCCAACGAAAGATCCACCGCCAAAAGCCACAACAGTCCATCGTCTAGACCGACGCTCGAAGGTTCCCTTCAAAGCAATTGAAGATCTCAGCAAATCATCAAGAGTCACACTCCAGAGCATGGCTCAAACCACATACTCCCTAGTTCTCGCGCACCTCACCAAACAGCTCGAGGTTCTCTTCGGCTCAGTCATATCCTGTCGCGACACGGAAGAAGCAAATTCAGTTCAATTTCCCTTGATGAATACAGTAGCCGTACGATCTATTCTCCACGGCACGCTATCGGATATGTTAACACACATACAAAACCTCAGCGACATGACACGACAATATCAGCATTTTCCGCTGGGAACCGCACAGGCTTATGCTCTTGCATCTCGTAGCCATGATGGTGATGATAAGAGTACGAGGTTGTTTGATAGCTTGTTTATTTACCAAGG